ACAATTACATGTCCCGCCGTGTGCCCCCTTGTCTTCCCAAGTGCAAGTCTCTGCGATTTACCGGTGTGAATCTCCTCGTCGTCCTTTCGCTGAACATAACACCAGAGAACAAATGATCCCTTCCCTCCTTCTGAGGTACCCCTGCCTGTTGCCGTCGTACTCACCTCGTACGTGCGGATTTGGACACCCTTGAACTTTTCATACGTGTCAATTGTCTGAGATAGCTGCTGTTCGGGCGTCAGCTCCGCGCGATTCAGGCTCCTGGCGTCCACGTTGCCCGACACTGTGTAGACTCTATTAGCAAACACACGATAGATCATGTGTTCCGTACCACAGCCAACATAGCCTGCAACATTCGGGACAGACATGAGGATGCCTCTCATTGGTCGTGCGCCCCATTCACACTCTGCATCTGCCCCTCATCGTCACCTTTGTCGGGTGCAGTCATCCCACTGTCCCTCCAGCCCGTGACCAATGAGGCGTGACCGGTGCACGTGCCAAGCTTCCATTCGGTCTCAATCGGCCTGTCTTCAAGCGTTGGAGACAGATCGTTGACCCCATCTACACATGTACACGTGTACACACAGACACACACCACGTACAGCCTGTGTCTTTGTGCATATATATTGTACTAGTTGTGCATTCTGTGCAGTCAGGCAGCGTACCAATCCAGGGCGCAGCAGTGGCAGGTGACACCGCCAAGGCTAGCAAGACCACTGTGACATACAGAAGATGGAGCTGCATCGTCAATCAGGGAGAGGAAGGAGGTGAAGGGAAACAAGAGAGTGGGTGTACGGAAAATGCAGCCGTTGCCGCCGGCAGCAACGGCGACAACGGCTGCAGTTGCGATCTCCCACGACTGCTTCTTCCCTTCCTGTCCTTCTCCTCTGATGACGATGCAGCTCCATCTTCTGCGTGTCACAGTGGTCGCCCCTGCTGGCCTCGCCGCCACTGCTGAACCCTGGATTGGTACGCTGCCTTCCTGCACAGAATGCACATCAACTGCAATATGTACAACTGTATGCACAAAAACAGGCTGTAGACGTGGTGTTTGTCACTGTGTGTGTATACGTCTGACGGGGTCAACGACCTCCTGCATGAGGTCCTTCAAGACAGGCCAATTGAGACCGAATGGAAGCTTGGCACGTGCACCGGTCACGTCTCATTTCACGGGCTGGAGGGATAGTGTTAAGGTAGATGCATGAAAGGGCGACGAAGTTCGTCCAATCCTCAAAGACAATCAACCAAAGAAAAACTCTGAAACCACACGTCAGGCAAACCGATACGAACGAAGCGAAAAAGCACAAGTGCAATCGAAAACAAAGACACACAAGTACATACAAGCAGTCCAAGGCAATCAAACAAACCGAGGCAGAACTCACAGACGCATCACCAGCGGACAAGCACGCTGACACACAGCATGTCCACGACACGCACACAGACAAGCACCAAATACATGCACTCCTGCGCAGGAGACACGCAGCAAAGTGAACACGGCAAGCATCAATCTGCCAGATCACAGCCCCGAAGCGAGGCCGGTGTGGCTCCTATAAGGCCCGGGGCTGATGAAGTCTTCTGGGAAAGCGCTGGCCCTCCGGGGCCCTCTGGGGGCTGCTGCTCGCTGCGCACGGCTAGACACCTGGAAGGCGCCGTGCTTCATCAGCTCGACCAACAGCAGCTGGCTCCAATGGTTGATCACGCTCTACGAAAGACTCCATCCTCAGTGGCGGGAATCGCGGCTGGACGGGGTCTCCACTTGGCGAGCATCTTGAGGGAATCCATCGTTTTCTCACACCACCTGCCGAATGTCTCCGCAGCGAGGGGACGAATTGAAAGCCGGCTGCGCGGGCGGCAGGGCCATATTTATCGATCATATTTATCGATCTTGTCCTTCTCTGCGAGAGCCGCTGCCTTACCGCCAGGCAGCTGTGCGCCGCGCCGGTTCACCGTCCGGTGGAACGGGATGGGAGAGTCGTCGGGTCGGCAGGGGTGGGTGATGGTGACGTCGAGCAGATAGTCATGGCCGTCGATCACACAGTAGATGTCCATGCGCTGGCTATTGGGATTGTCGTCAGGTGGGATAATGCCGAGGCTGTGCAGGGACACCTCCACATTGGAGGGACATCTGCCTCCGCCAGGATGCGGACGAACAGGTTGCGCATGTTGTTGTGTCTCAAGTTCGGCGCACGTCCGGTGTTACAGAGGAAGTAGTGATCACCAAACTTGTCGACCTCACCGTCGCAGATGCATCGCTGTAAGACAGTTGCGTGCGGGAGGGCAATGCCGAGGCACTCGGTAACAGCGTGGTGATACTGGAACCTGTTCAGTGCCTTCTGCTCACTGGACGGGATGGCCGACAGCCACTCAGACGAGAGAGGCCCGCGGCAGCTCAGAAGGCGACTGCGGGCCCTACCATCAGGCGGGAGGGAGTTGAAGAACTCGTTGAAGCGGGACTTGTATAGCTGGTCGGTCAGCCGTTGCTGCAGTCGCACCTCGGGCCTCGAGACAAGGTCTTGGAGGGAGGGCAGCAAGAGAAAGGGACCGACCGCCTGTGCAACCGCAGCAAGAGCGGGAGCGGCCGCCTGGACCCAGGGCAAGTCGAGCAGTCCGGAAGCCCCGCCTTGAGGTATCCATGGGGCCCCACGGAAACGGCTGAGAACGTCAGACGCTGTCAGGCCGACCGAAGCAACAAAGGCTGCACGCGCGATCGTGACCGTCGAGTCAGACCGAAACCTCTCAGGCGAATAGGCAGCTGCACCTGCGCCGACACCGAATCGGGAAAGTGGCCCGGTAAGCGAAACATGCGCCTGAATGCCGTGATGATGGCGGCGTCATGTCGCTCAGTGGTAGGTGGGGAATTGTCGGAGCCCGGCGGAAGGAGGCGCAGCCAGTAGCTCAGCCGGGGTGACGCACAGTAGCGGAGAAGCAGGCCAGATCCCTATAGACCTAACTGGGCAAATATTACAATAGCATCGTGCAGCGGCTTGTGGTCGTCGCGGATCTTCTCAAGGCCGCGCCGGATGAAAGGGGTGAGGCCAAGAGGACAGCCGAGGACCGTGATGCCTTCGGCAGAGCACTTGACACCAGAAGCGGCAATCTCAGCGGGGACGTCACAGGGCTGTCGCCAATGAGGGCTCCAGGCAGCGCTCTTGTCTCGACGCAGCTTCAGCTTCTTCTCGGCCAGAAGCTGTTCAGCTCTGTCCACATACCTCGTCACACGTGTCTCGTATACTCCTCCATAGATGTCATCCATGAAAGCACCAATGAAGTCGTCCAGAAACTCTTCCTGCAGCTTGACGAGGGCCGGATGGAGGCCCAGACAGAAAAGGAATGGTCCTGCAGCGTCGCCCTGCTGAGTCCCCTCTTGACTGAGGATGGTCTCAATGTGACCGTCTTCCATGCGATACCACAGCGTTGCGCTGGCCACTCCCCGTCGCGTTAGCGCCATTCACAGTCGATGGGACCCCACGCGAACGCGTGTCGACGAACTGTTACGAGGGGGGAGGGGCCCCCGAGTAATGGGAGGCGATCGGCCAGACGGAGAGCATAGGAAAATGGCGGGCAACAAATATACACAGTTTGTCGAGAGTGATTTTTGGTCGCCTTGAGGTTGAGTGAGGTTGAGTACGTATCTCAGAAGGGCTGGACAAGAGGAGACGCCAGAGGTTTCGGCAGAATTTACGTGTGGTGCACAGAAACTCGCTTTGTTCCAAGTTTATCGTTCTGTTTGCTGAGTGCATGCGGCGAGTGTTGGGGAATAGGAAGGCTGCAATTACAAAGGCTTCGACGAGAGGAGCGATGCAACCCCCCCCCCCCCCCCCCCCC